ATGGGTGTGTGGATCCTTTAACTGGAGCCAGATAATCCTTAATTATTAATGCAAATATAAACTTGTGGCAAAAGAGCAGGATTAGACTAGAGGCAAACAGATTATTTTCAAAGCACCGAGGTCATGTTAAGGTAAAACTGAATTTTAAATCCTTTTTCAAAAAAAATCCTCCATAAACTGTTTATAAGTCAGGGCGAGGGCTTTTAATTACACGGCTGGACGTGTAGAATGGTTTCATTGTGTTTAAAAAGGTTAAATCATGTGGTTAATTTCAAACCAAGAACTTGTCACTTTAATACTCCGGATAAATTATGGATGTTTTCCTGGAGATGTGGCTATGAAACGCCTGAGCCACTTTAAACAGGTTTCACTTTCTCAATCTCATCGGTATCGCCCTCAACCCATTCGATACAAAAACAGAGATAGGTTTGTGAAGAAACAGCATCTCACGGGCACTAGGGAGAAAAAGAAAATCGCTCCAAGCCGTTAAAAACCAGGAGATGTTGGCACTGACAGAACAATCACTGCTAGCAAACTGAAGCCAAATTGAATCTTGGCCAATTTATGGTTTAAATTATAACCCCGCTGTGGATGCTATAAAATCTGGTCTAACTTCTGGTTGATGGGTTTACCTATGTTTTTATATATCTCTCTATATAAAAATAGAATTTATGGTAATAAAAAGGACAGAAAAACCACTTGAAAATTGATTTCCTATAGGAAATCAAACTCCGCTTTTGAGGTCTTCGAATTGACCTGCTCTTTGTAGAAGCAAGAAGCGTCTTGTGGGCAAATACCAACACAATCCAAATGTTTGGGTAAACTTCCATAGAGAGGGATATTTGACTGCAAGTCGTCTGTATTTGGTTGATAAGACATGACCTGTGTATTTGCCAGTCTGGAAAACACACACACACAAATGGGTGGATCCCCTTTCTGCAGCCCCACGAATTCATCCAACCGCTCAGGAACAACTAAATAGCTCTAAGCCCAGGATAAAGACCCAATTGAGAAATTATATAACTATTTAATGATCTACTCTAAATGGCATCTCCCTCCGGGGAAGGGAATCAAGTTTGCAGACTGCCCAATTGTAGTAAGAGCCAGTTTTCCGAGACCCTGCACTAGCTGATATTTTAGTGCTCTCTGTGTGTGACTGAGGAGTGACAGAGTTTAACAGTATTCATATTACTCTAGTAAGGAAAAACAAATCTCGGTGAAAACGTGTGTCTATTTCGTTCACTGCGGGGACTGATTTCCCTTGCGGATGAGATGCGGCTTGTGCAAAAGATATTTTCATGGCACAATGGTGAATATATTTATTCTCAACCTAGGTATTTGTTCAGTCCCACCCGTCTGTCTCGTTTACATATATACCGGTGTGACTTGTGTGTATCTCACACACTCCAGAACTATGTTGCAAATGAATTCCAGTATTAGTTGGAAAGGGCTTTTTGGTGAGCCTGGATTCTTTTCGCTGCGCGGCTATATGCATATCGGAGAGTCAGTGTGCTTCTATAGGCTATCGAAAGACCCCACTGATTTCAGACCCGTGGATTTATTTTCCTTGCATCGCTGCATTCCCCCTGATGGATTCGGTGTTTATTTCCCCCGATAGTTTAGGCAGCCAGAAAAGATATTTAAACCAGCTCGATCTCCCCCTCCCAGCCCCATCAAGGCCATGAAGAAAGTTTGTCAGGTTTTCAGTGCAGTTGTCAGCAGCTCAGAGGAGACCCTTCCCCCCCACAACTCCTACCCTCACCCCAGAAATATTTACCGTTAAACTAGGTCACATGCACATTTCATTTCCTTGCCGTTTGCACAATGGATGCATGCAATCAGGTTGATGCCCAAATATTAAACTTCCCCTGCAGTTAAGGACTCTTTTTTTGCTGCAGCTTAAATCATTGTGTTACTCGCTCGTATTTATTAGGTACTAGCTTTCTGGTTGGGACCAGGAAATGAACCCTAATAGACAGAAATAATTAAAGTTCTGCCCTCGTGAGGGTTCTTTCCAAAGCAAGAATTCACAATTATTCTCATTAATTTTTACAACCTACTGCCCCCCTAGCTGGACCTGGGCTTTATATTGGCTCCCCCTAGGATATCCGGTTTTTTGCTTATTTTGGGGTAGGTTATTTAACATGCTTTATAGCCCAGATCCTCTAAAGTACAGCCCTAGGAAAGAACAGCCCTGGCTAAAAGGACAGCACATCCACAGATGTGCTACAGTGCACAGAGATGTGCAGAGGACAACGCACAAGCGTACATTGTAACAGCCCGTATTCACACACGTCATTAGATAGGTACCAAATGGGTCATTTTCCACTTCTGTATACACACATTAAGAGAACACTGCAATCTTAAATGAAGTCAAGCACTCAGCGGCTAGGAAATGCCAGTATGACGGTTGCCTGGGCAGTATTAATTTGGCCTCCATGTGTATGCATTATTGTAGAGTCTCCAATTGCACGATCATACTCTTTTTTCACCAGGCCCCTGCCTCTTTCAGCACACATGATGGATGGTGCTCAGTTTTGAGCAGCTATTCAATGTTGTTTCATACCAATTGTTTGGTATATGGCCCCAGGCCTTATTTCCTGCACATTGTTAACATCTAGCTCTGAAAACAGGGTTACTAATTTTCTTCAGGGAGTCGATGGCACTCATCACTACAATATCCGAATGCTTCACAAACATCGATCTATTTTCACAACGCCCCTGTGAGGTGAAGGGTTTGTATTATCCATTTTTCAGATCAGGACTGGAGGCAGGCAGAGAGGGAGAGGGGCTCACTGATTTTGGATACCCGATTTGAGATGCCTGGGACCTGGTTTTTCAGAGTGCTTAGCATTAGAGCATTTTATACGTTCAAAGCTCAGCAATTCTGCACTTCAACCCCAGGGAGTCAAGTCAGGCACCCAGAAAGTGAGGAACACACCATTAGTGATCACTTGTTTAAGTGACATGCACAGCATCACATAGGAACTCTGTGGCAGAGGCAGGGATAGAATCCAGCTCTCCAGGGGAGTGTTCAACCACCTTAACCAGGAGGCCATCCTTATGCTTCTTGCGATCTCTTGCCTCTTTTACTACCTACCTTTCAACTTCTGCTACAAATGAGGCAGGGGTCCTACAGATGACAGCCTCCTTTCTTTCACAACCCTGATTCATCCCCAGAGCACCATACATCCTGTGCACTCTGAACAAGGCAAGGAAAAGCGCATGTGACCATATAGTTCATCAGCAAGCTTGAAACCTTTAGCTCCACCTCACAGACCTCTGCCACTTGATCTAATGGAGTAACAGATAGCAGTAGTAGGTTATCATCCTCTATGGGGAACCAGCACTAGAAGGGGATGACATTTTACCAGTAGGTTTCACAGATATTTGCCAACAGCAGAGGAATGGTGAGACTCAAATCTTGGGTTCCATTTTGGGCTCTGCCACATCCTCTCCAACCTGTCCCAGTCTGGTCTCTTCCGGTTCCTTATCCCAGTCTTCTCACCTACCTACTCCCAAATCTCCCCTCCTCAGGTTACTCATCCCAGTCTCCTTGCCCAGCCAGTCCCAGTTCCCACCTCCCACTACAACTTGTCCCCAGATTCCTTCCCAGTCTATCCCAGTTCTTCTGTCCTGGCTCCTCATCCTATAGGTCCCCCCCATCCCCCAGTCCTAGTCTCCCACCTGGTTCTTAATCCAATCTCAGGGTTCCTTCCAGTCTGTCCCCAGATCCTTGTCTAGTCATCCCCATTCCTGGCTGTTTGTCCCAGTCTCCTTGCCCAGCTAGTATCAGTTGCTTTTCTACACCCCAATTTCTTGTCCGGTCTGTCTCCCCTCCCTCTGCAACCCCCACCACCCAACTAGTTCCTAGTCCCAGGCTCCTTGTCCAACCAATCCAAGTCCCCATCTCATTTCTCTCACCAGCTCCCAGCCCCAGTCTTCTTGTCCTGCCAGTCTCAGTCTGTCTCCCACTCCCTCCCATTGTCGGGTCACCAGATTCCTTATCCCAATATACTTCTTTCCCTCCCCCAGGTCTAGGATTTGTTCTCTCTGCATTCAAATCAGACAGCTCCCTCTCCACACTGCCCGGGTACCAGCAGGGGTGCCATTGAGAGCACAGGAAAGACAGGCTCCCTGTCTGCAGTTCCAGCCCCACCCTGACCTGGAGCAGTTGTGAATAGCCATTACAGGGAAAGTCCAGTTCAGCCCCTGTCATTCTGGACTAGAATACACTCAGGGCAAATCTACACTGCAAAATTAAGTCAACTTAAGTTACTCCAATGTACAGCCACCGCAATAATTAAATTGCTCTTGCATGTCCACACCAGACTTCTTGTGTCGGGGATGCATGTCCTCCCCAGGAGCGCTTGCACCGATTTGGCTCTCAGTGTGGGGCACTGGGGGACAGCTTCTGAAAGCCAGCAACAGTTGATGTAAGCAACGCAATGGCTTGCACTGACACTGTTGACCTAACTACATCGACTTAAGCGCTATGCTTCTCGCGGAGGTAGAGTTAAGTCAAGTCAGGGGAGTGGGCAAGTTACACTGGTGGGAGCTACATTTTAGTGTAGATACTTACAGAGTTAGCCTGGATGAAGTATTGTCAATGAAGATGGAAACTTCAGATTTGAGCTGTTAAATTGAAAAGTCTAATGAACATGTGCAAACTGCATTTTTTCCAAAGGATTATAACGGGACCAAAATTTGGGTAGATTTTCAGAGGGACAGGAAAAGACATCTCCCTGTCAAAGGATGCCCCCTTGCAAAATTTTTGAGACCCTGCTCCAAAATATAGGGAGGCTAGCATTTCAGAGAAAAGATCGCCAGATTTTTAAGATGAGCAAAACATTATCTCCTAGCTTGGTTTTAAAAAATGGCTGCATTCTGTTGGCTGAAACTAAACAAAAAAACAAAAAACAAAAAAAGCCAGAGGAAGACAGTGGCATGGAAAATGTGAGTTCTAATGGTTAAAGTCAAAAGCAACTGAAAATGGTGTTTTATAATGAGAAGTGTTGAGCAACATTAATAGGCGGCGCTACCAGCACATAACAATGATCTAAATCTGTACATCTATAAAAAAATATATAAATGTTTACATACACTTCCATTCTCTCAAATGTTGTTATAATTATGGACAGTTTTAAAGGTGACCCTTTATATGCAAGTCCTTCCATAAACTCTGTTCAGAAGTACTTTGTGCCCAGTTTATCATAGAGAAATAGTAAAGCAAAGATGAATCTATAGGTCAGGTGAGAACTTTGACAACAGTTTCCTTCAGTTAACCCTCTGCCACTCCCAAAGTAATACAGTATTTAAAGCCCTGTTTTATTGCATAATGTTGTCCTGGGCATTCTGTCTGACTTTATGGGAGTTGCCTTTACTTTTTCATAAAATGATGTAATTGACTAACTGACTTAGAAAGTGAAAAAAAAAAGCCTATCAAAGTCAGTGGCAATTAGATTGAGTGTCATTAAGCCAAAATGGGTTCAGAAGAAGTTAATTTACATCAGTTCACTTGCAGTCAATGCTTTTCTGAGGTGACAAGTCAGACTAAAATGAGCCAAATATTCTGATCATGCTCTTTCTTAAAAAGAAAAAAGCGCAGCTTCCCGTAAAGTATGCTTATAATGAATTAAAGAGCTAGGACCCGATTCAAAGCCCACTGGTTAATGGAAAGGCTCCTCTTGACCTCAGTGGGCATTAGATCAGGCCCCTAACAAGGGCTTTAGGTCACTTAGTATATTTTTTTTAAACTTCTCTTGGGGCCCAAATCTATGAACACACATTAATCACTGCTCATGTGAACAGTCCCACTGAAGGCTGTGGGATGACTGACTCACATACTTAAGCATTCGCACTGCAGGACTCTAATATTTTCATGGAAATTTTGAGGGAGAAGTGTGTGTGTTTTGGTACCAGTATCATAAACCCCAACTTACGAGAGAACTTCGCTCACTCAAGCAACTATTCCCATTGTGTTTAGCAAGTAAGAACTATTTACTTGTATTCTGCAACACCATGCCCACATGAACAATGGGAGTTTAGCCACTGACTTCAATAGAGCCCGGATTTCATCCATGGATTCTTGCAAAGGTTGTGACCTTGCAAAGACTTATGCACGTGCTTAACTTTGTATACATGAGAAGTCCCACAGAAATCAAATGGAATGACTGTTCACATGTGTCAAGTTAAACAAGTACAGAATAAGGACCTATGCAGTTAACCAGCTTCAGCAGGAGTCTATATTGGAGGCAGCATGGTCTAGTGTCAAGAGCAGAATGCTGAGAACTAGGAGACCTAGTCTATTTTCAAATCAGCTGCTGTCAGGTTGTGCTGCCCTGAGCAAAAAGTGCCAGTTTCCTCAGTTAGAAAATGGGGATATTACCCATCTTTGTGACATGCAGTGGGGAACTCTTAGTGCACTCCAGCAAGGTCTACATGGGCCAGTTAGTGCACAACATGTGGGTGTGCTTTAGAATTCACACCCCACACCATGTAGACAAGCCCCGAGATGAAAGGCACTGTGGGTATCTGTTGATTGATATAAGAGGGGGAAAATTCCTGTTCACTTCAGTTATGTCTGGCTCAGATATAATACAAATATAATAGATGTTTAGAAAAATGGGTCCATAATCTTGTGGAGTCCTCTAGGTGCTACCACAATATAAATTACCACCTTAAACTCAAATACAAAGCAATTGTCATCTGAAGAAAGGGCTAATTCTGGTAAACCCTTACTCCTGTAAGTAAGTGTCTTTACTCAATTTTATCGTAAGGGTTGCATAACAAAGCTTAAGAAAGAGGGGGTGTTGACTGAGAACTTCTTGTCAGCTCCGAGATTTCGAATTCTAGGAAGCTCGATTTGTAATGCCTAATTCTTTGGAGTAGGAATGAAATGCTCACAGTAAACCACTTCTGGTTCCTTCCTTCAGATAACCCAGTTAAAGATTGAAAACAATCCCTTTGCTAAAGGATTTCGAGGTAGTGACGATATGGAGCTACACAGAATGTCAAGAATGCAAAGGTAAAATATTTATACATACGGTATGAAAAAATTTATTGCCATTGCAGCAATTTACTGCATACGCATTACTTTAGTTTGTCAAATTTAGTCCTCGATCCTGCAAACATTTATGTATATGCTTAACTTCATGAAAAACCGGTCAAGACTGAAAATAGAAAAGGATAAGAGCCGTCTTGATCATGGTTTATAAGTACCTACATGGGGAGAAGATTTCTAATATCCGAGTTCTTTAATCTAGCAGACAAAGCAGAACAAGATCCAATGGCTGGAAGCTGAAGCCAGACAAATTCAGATTAGAAATAAGGTGTAAATTTTACCCATGAAGATGGTTAACAATTGGAACAACTTAAATAGGGACATGATGGATTCTGATGGCAATTGGATGTCTGTCTAAAAGACCTGCTTTAGCTCAACCACAAGCAGTTAGACTTGATGCAGGAATCACTGGATGAGGCTCTCTGACCTGTGTTCTGCAGGAGGTCAGACTAGATTATCAGAATGGTCCCTTTTAGCCTTAAGGTCTAAGAATCTATTAACTTGATTCACTCCATTGCACTCAGAGCTCCCATGTGTAAAGTTACTCACATGTGCAAGCATTGGCAGGATCAGAGCCTTAATGGCTATGTAAATCATACTGCTAGACAACAAACAATGTCTCTGATGCTGCAAACACTTATGCATGTGACTAATCTTACGCAACTGGACAAATTTACTCACATGTTCAAGTGTTTGTAGGCTCACATCCAAGAGATCCAAAAATAAAAAAGCTGCCTTATTCTCCTCTGAATCCACCTTTGCGATAATCGGACTGTCCTGTGATCCCTTATCATATAACCTTTCTAACAGCTACACAGATCCTGGCAGGTGGCGTAAATATTTTTAGTCCACTGAAAAATGAAATAGCTTTTCCTTCCCTACTTACACCTCCTTTTAAACTTGGACAATCATGTCCTGATAAGTTTGTTGTTGTTCAGTTTCCATTTACCAAAGCTGTAGGGTAAGTCTTGAACCTTTACATTAATTACTATTTTTCTATGGGGTGAAACACTAAAGACTATTAGAAAAACTTCATGTCATCTGAAAATCATGGCCATGTTGAGCTGGTGCTAAAGTCAGTGAATAGTTTTATGCAATCCTGTGGTTGTTGATCTAGTGAACAGAAACTCTTGGAAATACACACACACACACACACACACACACACACACACACAGTGGGAACTGGAGTAGTTGAAAGGGTTAAAATACACAGTGCCAACTCTGCAGAATATTTTCTGATGCTTAGTTTGCTTCCTAAACAATTTACCATATGGCAGAGGACAAAAACAGCACCTTGACATTTTCACAAAGAAGTTCTTTTGGAGAAGGGTGGAGTAAGATGGTTATTTTGAAATAAAGGACCATTCTGTGTGTGTGTGTGTGTGTGTGTGTGTGTGTGTGTGTGTGTGTGTGAGAGAGAGAGAGAGAGAGAGACAAGTTTTAAAATGATGGGCCAGATGCGTAGCTCCATCGATGTCAATGGAGCTGCATCCATTTATGCCAGCTGAAAACATAGCCTGATACTTTTAGTGCAGCAACTTGTTATAAAAAAGGAGCTGAAAAGATGGAAAAATAGACCACTAGAAATCGGGGACCTATCATCTCGCTGGGTAATGTAGCCATGAATAGAATTCATTTTTCATGATGAAGGAAGGGCAATGCTATCTTCTAGTTAGAGCTCAGTTCTGTTGTGTTTTAAATACGGGTCTGTGGTTATTGAAGGAGGACATTTAATAGAAGACAGCAGAGCAAGTAGAACCAAAACAATTTGCAAAGCCAAGATGAGGCCCAGGACAGGAGGGGAGCATCTGCTGGCTATGGATTCCTGGTTCTCATACTTGTCCCCACATTAGATCACGGTGGAGTTTAAGGGATCATACCCCAACTGAGGATCCACCTCAGCACAGACTTTCCTGCCCCCAGACATGTCCCCTGGTACCTAGGTTGGAGGGGAGAGGGTGCAGGGACACTAAATAAGGGGACTTCTCAGCTGCCCAGGTCTGGCTGCTCCCCAGCATCTTTGAACTACCAGAGTGGCAGAAAGGGGACCAAAAGGCAGGAGAGAATTTGGCCTATTGGGTCTGACATCTGAAGTTGGTCTGAGTTTTGACATTAAGTTCAATCGGAGCAGGACAGGCCCATGACCACCTAAAAACCCACCACCACCGTGAGCATGCTCTTCCTTGTGGGCAACCTTAGAAAAGAGCAAGTATAGAACAGTCATGTGTCTTGAATGACCCTGTCTCTGGCAGGGTGACCCCTTCAGGTCAGGTGAGAGACATGCTGGCAGTGCCATCACTGTATGTGTTCTGTGCAGCCAATAGCAACCTCTCCATGGTAAAAGACGCAGGACAGGAATCTGCAGTCCGTAGAGACCTGGAGGCTTTAGAGAGTCCTGGATTCAGGAGAGGAATGTGGGCTGATGGAAATGCAAAGTGGCAGAATGTGTGCCCATGGTGGGGGCCCTACATTCCAAAGCCAACAATGGGCCAAGATCCATGGGAATACGCAGCAGGATCTCTGTAGTGCTCAGGCTCTTTGTAGAGAGCCAGTCCCTCCGACTCTGGACTCGCCAAACAGCTCCCCCACCCACACCATGGTACCAGTGAAGCCTACCTTGATTTACCACCACTTTCTGCTCCACAGCTGCCTGTGTTTTGCTGGGCCCCCAGCTACAGTGGGGACTGTAGAGTCTAGAGCAGAATCATGCTACTCTGAGCAGCACTGATATCCAAGGTTATTTTGGTGCAAATTCACCATTTGGGGGAAGGAATATGCCTGTACCATGGGACTTCTCCCCCCCAGCTCCACCCCCAACTGCCTGGACATGCATGTTTTTCTAACCAGCCTTTCAGACACATGGGATGTTTTAGCAGTTGGGAACGGTCAGCTATGTAGAACATGTATGCATATGTATGAGTTTGAGAGGACATCCCCCTAGTTGCCTTCCTCTCTGCATGCCACCTCCATGGGTTTGGTCTCCTCCACATATACAGCAGAAGTGAGCATATAGGCCTGTCCAAGTAAAAGACTTCAGTCAACTGGGTGATCAAGCCAACACCTTTCAACAGCAGGTAATTCAAATACAAAGAATAGACTAGGTCTGCAGTGAGATCCAAATTCTAGTTAATGCATGCCTCCAATACAGGTTTATCTTCCCCTCCATTAGCAACAGGACTATTCATGGTCATGTCAGTTGCATATATACTTTAGGAGTACATACCTTGTGAGCTTTAGTTTGGGAGATCAAATCTGTTACTTTCATAGTAAGAAAAGTGTGTGTGTGTGTGTGTGTGTGTGTGTGTGTGTGTGTGTGTGTCTCGTTTGCCTGTTGTATTCATGCTGAAATTCAAAACTAATTCAGATGAAAGTTTTGTGTCATTTTAATGCTTGGACATTTTAGGCAAATTATTTCTCACATTCATACCTCAGACAGTGGAGGATTGTTGGGGCATATGTCACCCTAGAGCTTTGTCTACAACTCCCTAATAGTGCCAGTGAGAATTAAGCCTGAAGATCACATGCAGAACGTTCTGCATAGATCCACAGCAGATTAAATTAAAGCAGGGATCCGCACTGTGCATTCCAGAGTAGAATTTTGCCCTTAAACTTCTCCACGCATGAGCCAATGGAGGTGTATTAATAAACCATATCTACCACCGAGTGATTTTGGGGAGGGGGCATTGCCTAGAGTTCAGATTTTTGTACCTGCAGCTAATAGAATAGAGGGTGGGAAGAGAGTTTGAGGGTTCAGGGCTGAAGCACAGTAAAAACCACAATTTCTTTTAAGGCCTTTTTCATTCTGAATCTTTTGCTGAGCACCTGCAGCTCCTGTTGACTTCAAGTGGAGTCACAGGTGCTCAGCACTTCTGAAAATCAAGTCCTAATTACCATTCAAACTAATTTAGTTGTATTTAGTTTCACATTTGGGAAGTTCTTGTTTGGGGGAAAATTTTATATATGAGAAAGCAAAACACTGAATGACTTAAATGGCTATCACTGGCCTTTATAACGTGTGACAAAGTTCTAGAATGGGGCATACAACACAAAACAGTAGAAGAGGCTTGGCATTGTATAGGGGTCTCTCTCTAATGGAGATAAAAGGCCATATTTTGTTTTCAGTAGTATAACTGCAGAGTAACTGCATTGTTCCAGAGTAATTGCATTGGCTTCAAAGGCATTGCTCTGGATATATGTTGGTGTGACCAAAAGCAGAATCTGGGCCAACATCTTCTATCATGGCAGTGTCTAGATTTTACCTTTAGAGAACAGTTTACAGAACTAAATGGGGAGATGCCCCTTGGTTTGTGCAGTAGGATGATCAATATGGATCAAGAGTTAGTGCCAGGATTCCATAGCTGAGACATTTGGTGCTGGTGGAATTTTTGGGTGAATCTGAGGACTCACCAAGGAGTGTCTGCTCAGGATGACATGCTAACACCAAATCTCTTGGCTAGGTCCATCATGCCTGATGCAACTGGGGTTGTTCCATTGCAAGCTATCATCTTACCATTGCATTTTCATTTCCCATGCTCTGGCTCAATGAAATCTCAGCAGCTCCATGTGTCACCTTAGACACTTCCCAAGAGAAACCCCCCACACTAGGGGTTACCATGATCACCCTTGGTGGGGGAGATGTTGCTCAGTCCCTGCTCTGCCAAGCTGACTCCAATAGAAGGTTGCCTGGGTAAGGACTGACTACAAACCCAGGGCCTGATGCATATAGTTCATTGAGATCAATGGGATTTGGATCAAGTCTAGAGTAAGACTAAGGAATCGGTCCATGGGTACCACTCCAACATGCTCTGCAGATATTACAATAAGAGTTGCAAAATCTCCATTAGGGAAGCATAATATTGCTGATGCTTCCTTCACTGCTCTGGTGCTCAGTTACAGGGCAGCCATCCAGCCAGACAATCTCCAGAAGGTCACCACAGTTAAATGCTAATTAATCCTGACATCAA